GACCCCCTCCTCTGTGTTGCAGCCCCTCAAATATTGGAAGACTGCTGTCCTGCCTCCCCTGGTCCTTCTCTTCACTAGACTAGCCATGCCTGGTTCCTGCAACTGTTCTTCCTATGTTTTATCCTCCAGTCCCCTAATCATCCTGGTTGCTCTTCTCTGCACTTTTTCTAGAGTCTCAACATCTTTTTGATAGTGTGGTGACCAAAACTGGATGCAGTACTCTAGATGTGGTATAGGTATAAACCTATAGATTTCAACTTCCAAAATTCCACAGATGGCATGACTGACACTGGATTTATTATATTTTACTATATTAATTTATTTAGTATAACCACCACCACCCTCCCCAAATGCCATTGACCCTTATCTATCTCTAACCAAATGCTGACTATTATTTGAGATGATTCCTGTGCATAGGCTTTTAGCAATAAATCATTTAATTTGAATCTTCATATGTGGAGCTGATTTTTTGTGCCTGACAGATACAAACCAAGAGAGTGTCCTGGACAATTTTCCTGTATTGGCTTTGCAAAAGAAACTTGTTAAAACTTTGAAGAATTTTGTGAGGAAAAAAATGAAATAAAATTTTAGGACTTTTGGAGGAAGTAAAGTTCAAGATCATTAAAATGAAGCAACATAAAGTTGGTTTATTTGGTTAAGGTTAAAATAGATAATGTTATCTCTGGTAACCCTTAATGAACTTTTGCTGATCAGAACTGAAATGGTGAAGCTTTAAGGATTATAGATAAGAGAAGAAATTATTTATTTTATTTTGGGAGCTGATTAAGCTATTAAAATTGTTTACACAGTACCCGAGGGGAAGACATTTCTTTACTATATTCTTATTTTCTTTTCTTTTCTGTGCTTTCTATTTTTTTATTCTTTCATTTTTTTAGTTTGTATTTTTCTCTTTTTAGCTGTCATTTTTAGTAAAACTACTGTGAAAATAGGAAAGTAGAAGAAGAAGTCTGCTTTTAGTAAAGACTTGATTTGCATGCTGAGAGCTCCACATGTAATCTCTGCTTCCCCCGTGATTAGAAGTGGGCCAAGGGGTTATAGGAAAAGCCATCTGCCAACAGAGGATGTAATAGAAACCTGGAGGGATAAGCAGTCCGACTTGCTTCTCCGGCCTTGGTGTCTAAAAATAGACGCATCTGGAAATAGCTGCATTATGAATAAACAGAATGGGAACTGTGCCTCTTTTACTACATTATACAAAATATTTTGTGTTTCTATCCACACCTAAAACTGAATGCGTGGACACACCCAGGGTGAACATGAGCAGTTCACCTGTGGCCGAGTGCTTTAGCTCTTTCCTTGCTAGATCTTTTTCTTCATTTTATTTAGTGCGATGATTGCTCTGCATATCCACCTAGGCTCCTACACAATGTATTTTTGGAGATCCTGGTTCAAGCATGCTGGG